CTCAACCCAAAAGAGAACAGAAAATAATAAAAACAGAACAAGTTAAAATGCATCCAAATGGTAAATGTGACATTGTAACCTAACTATATCTGTAGGGATCTACAGATAATTTAATCCTTATTTCCCATGCACTCTGTCTGAGAACAAGAGCAGTCACATCCCTGGTCAATAATCCGAGGGAATCCAAAGGCTGAATCCATGTGGGGCCTCTGCAAAGGATTTTGGCCTTTCGCTGTCATCCATAGAATAATATATACTTTTCATAGTAAAAGAGGCCCTGGTGGTACAGTGGTTAACACATTGGGCTGCTAACCACAAGGTCAGCAGTTCAAAACCACCGGCAGTTCCTCAGGAGAAAGGTTAGGGCTTTTTGCTCTCATAAAGAACTGATCACCTTTGTCCTGGAAGGTCACTATGAGTCAGAATCGACTCAGTGGCAGTGAGTTTTTTTCATATAAGTTAGTAAAGGTTATGATCCTTTAACTATGTATGCAAGAAAGATACCGTATATACTCGTGTATACGCCAAGTTTCTCAGCACATTTTTGATGCAGTTTTGTGGTTAAATTAGGTGCCTCGGCTGATATTCGGGTTGGCTTATACTCAAGTATATACGGTAAAGATTTAAAGAAGAATGAAGACAGATATCTAAGAACAGAAGATCCAACCAAGAAAAAAGATCAAAGGGACTCCTAGGGTGTCAGCCAAGGGAAGGCGAGGCTCACAGCGGTGCGGCAGCCTGGCAAGCAGCTCTCTCCGCCTGGAGCGGAAGCTCAGGGGAAAGACAGCCTCTACAACCCACGCATCCAGAGAGTCATGTTCGCAGATCATTGCTATGAAACCACTAGGAGAAGTGAAGTCGCTGCACCCCAAGACTGGCCTGGAGGGGCGACGGGGGACAGAGGATTGAACTGTTTTTAAGGACGTTCAGCTGTAGTTGACTTTTTCAGGTATTTGTATGAAATACTTCTTGAACAGTATTAATTATTTCTTTAGCATGTACACTTAGCACAATTTTAATCCTTATTTTCAAAGCGACTCCCAGAAAGAGGGTTTCACCAGCAGTGGATGGGAGTTCCTATGTTACCCCAATCTTGCCCACACCGACTAGCATAGGATACGTCCTTGCAGCCAATGTGATGCACAAAGTGCTACTGTACCATCCACTTGCCTAGGATTACGAATGAGGCTTGGCGTTTTAAAATATACATATGGTCCATTTGAGCTTCCTTCCTCTTTTATAAATTACCTGTTCAGGTCCTTAAGTTCATTTATCTCATCCATATGACATAGAAGTAAAGGGTATTGATAATCACATCACTTTTGGATAGCCAAGTAAACAGATGAGAATTACCTAAACTTTCAGCTGTAGGTATTAATTTGTTAAATTACTGCACTGTTAAATTCCATTCAGTGTTGCTAACTGTGTAGACTTCGAGAAGTCAGGGGTCCTCTAGCGCCCCAGGAAATGAGATGAGTAGCTATGGCTGGAGGGTGAATGGAGTGGTCCCACTCAAGGTTCTCAGGCTGAGGGTGAGGGCGGAGGAACACAAAGAAAGGGGCTAAGGGTAGTACCTGACTTGGTGACATCACCAGGTAAGCTTAACCAGCCCTACCCCAAGTAGCTTGCTCTGTGTTGAAGGAATCAGGTATCAGACATCAAAGACCCAAAACAAAACATCGTATTGCTGGGAATGAGGGTGAGGGCGGAATGGAGACCCAAAGCCCATCTGTAGACAATTGGACATCCTCTCACAAAAGGGCCACAAAGAAGAGACAAGCCAGTCAGGGTGCAGTATAGCACTGACAAAACACACAACTTTCCTCCAGTTCTTTAATGCTTCCTCCCTCCCCCTCCTACTATCATGACCCCAACTCTACCTTCAAATCTGGCTAGATCAGAGCATGTACACCGGTAACAGGGAATCAGGACAGATAAACCCCTCAGGGCCAATAATGAAAGTAGCGACACCAGGAGGGGAAGGGGAAGGCTGGAGGGAGAAAGGGGGAACCAATCACAATAACCAACATATAACCCCACCTCCCCAGGGGGACGAACAACAGAAAAGTGGGTGAAGGGAGACAGTGGTTGGTGTAAGACATGAAAAATAAATTCATAAATTATCAAGGGATCATGAGGGAGGAAGGGGGAGGGGGAAATGAGCTGATACCAAAGGCTCAGGTAGAAAGAAAATGTTTTGAAAATGATGATGGTGACAAATGTACAAATCGGTTGGCCTTCCTTTCTCGACTTCCGCTTCTTAGCTACTCCTCCTCCATCTTGCCCAGACACTCCAACCTCAATGAGCCAGTCTTGGAGCCTGGCTCCCTCATTCTCCACTTCTACTCCCCTGCACTGCTGACCCAATCAGATGCCACTGGCAAGTTCCCAAACCAGAGGCAAGACCTGATAAATTGTGCCCGGTCCCTGGGAATGAGCTGACTTGTCCGCAGACTCTGTTTATCTTACATCTCAACCGCTTGGTGAGTCAACCTCTGCCTCAGCCCAGTGGAGTGAAGTTCAACGGTATCATCCTAGATCTCAGCGGAGACAGTGTCTGGGATCAGTGTGACAATGTGGGTGCTGCTGACAAAGTCTGTGGGTCTAACTCTTTTATAACACTAAATGTCATTCTGATCGCCAAACTGAAGCAAACATAACCAGACAGAGCGAATAAATGCCATCCTAAAATAAAACTCAATTCAGAGCATTCGCTACCTCATCATCTGTCATAGCTCCCCGCACCCCTGTACCCCCACTTCTCAATGCTCCTCTTTCACTCTGGCCACCCAGTGCCAAACACCCAAGGCCCCCTTCTCTCTGCTGCTAGACATGACTTCCCAGGAGACTGCAGGGTGGGCAGCAAGCCTAGAGACAGACTCGGAGCCCGGGGTGCACACCAGAGTCTATCATGTATCCTCTCTGCTCCTTATGCCCCCTCCCCGTAAAATGGGGGGAAGCAAGCGCCTCCACGCTGTGCTAAGGATTAGAGGCACCGCTGGTGAAGAGCTGACTGCAGCCACGGGCTTCCTGGTGGCTGGTAATGGCCAGAGAGTCCACACTGGCTACAGTGGCCCTGAGTGGAACCCTTGCCTCCGGGAGGGGATCTTGGCTGCAATATATTTTTAATACTTTTATTGGGGGGCTCTTACATTTCTTATCACAATCCATACATTCATCCAGTGTGTCAAACACATTTGCACATATGCTGCCATCATCATTTTCAAAGCATTCTCTTCCCATTTGATCCCCTGATCGGTTCCCCATTTCTTCCCCCTTCCTCCCCCAACCACCCTCCCTCAGGAACCCTTGATAAGTTACAGATTATTATTTTCATCTTATATCCTCCGTCGACCCTCACCCACTTTTCCATTATTCGTTCCCCTGGGAAGGGGTTCTAGATTGATCCTTGTGATCGATTCCCGTTTTCTCCCCCACCACCCCCTAATCTTCCTGGTATCTCTACTCTCTTTGTTGGCCCTGAGGGGTTTATCTAGCCTGGATTCCCTGTGTTGTGGGCTCTTGTCTGTAGCAGTGTGGATGTTCTGGTCTAATCCGATTTGTAAGGTAGCATTGAGGTCATGGTAGTCGGGGGAAGGAAGCACCAAAGAACTAGAAGAAAGTTGTGTATTTTATCGGTGCTATACTGCACCCTGACTGGCTCCTCTCTTCCCTGTGACCCCTCTGTGAGGCGATGTCCAATTGTCTACAGATGGGCATTGGGTGTTGGCTGCAATCTTTATGAAAGCAGATCGCCGGGCCCTTTGTTCTGCGGCATCTCTAGGTGGGTTTGAACGGCCACCCTTCAGCTTCTGGTTAGCAGCCAATGACAACTCTGACGCGCTGATCCAAACCAGGATCCCACTCACTGCCCTCGAGGCAAGTCTGACTCATCGTAACAGGATAGCACAAAATAGCGCTGCCTCTTTGGACGTCCATGGCTGTAAATCTTTTTCTTTTTTTAAGATGTTTATGATAGTTTCTTTTATTTTTCACTATATATCATGCCCATTTATTCGATACGTGAAGAACCTGGTTTTGAAGTAGTTACGCATTGGGCTCCTAACCTCAAGGTCAGCAGTTCGAAACCACCAGCTGTTCTGGTTGGAGAAAGACGAGGCTTTCCACTCCTGTGAAGGGTTAGTCTGGCTGTAAATCTCTACGGAAGCAGAAAGCCTCGTCTTTCTCCCACAGAGTCGCTGTTAGATTTCTAACTGCTGACCTTTCAGGTAACAACCCCGCTTGAAACTCAACTATGCCGTGGGCTCTCCTTAGGGTTTGATCAACAGCAACGACAAACGCACTGCATTGAGTCGATTCCGACTCAAAGGCTCTGCCTCTAAAAACCAAACTCACCGCTATGGCGTCAATGCTGACTCATGGGAGCCCTCTGGTGGTGTAGTGGTTGTGCATTGGGCTGATGAAAAGAAATGAAAGGTCAGCGGTTCAAAATCACCAGCCGCGCCTCAGGAGAAAGAGGAGGCTGACTGCTCCTGTAAAGGGGTGCGTTCCAGAAAACCTGAAGGGACAGTGCTACTCTGACCCAGAGGGTCGATGTCGTCTCATAGTGACCCTCTGGGACAGGGTAGAGCTCCACCTGTGCGTTTCCAAGACTGTAACTCTTTGGGGGAGAGTAGAAAGCCTCTTCTTTCTCCTGTGGAGCAGCTGGTGGTTTTGAACCACTGACTTTGTGATTAGCAACCCAATATGTAACCGGGACACCACTAGGGCTCCTGGAGGCTCTGACTACCTCTCTGCAGATCATGGTCAGCAGTTCGGAATCAAGAATCATGCCAGGCTCTAGGGACTAAGCTCTCATATGAAAGACTCAGTGTTCCATCTCACTCCCTCTCAGGAACCATGCCAATGCCCACCTCCTGAGTCTCAGGTGAGCACAGGCCCAGGTACGTGTGTGTCAATCCCCCAGCTGCAGGCCTGGAAGCCAGCCCAGACAGATTTCTAAGGAAGCCCAGCATTTAGAGGCCGGTGTGTTCACCTACCTGGAAGAGGTTAGCAGCTTCCAGGACCCGCTGGACGTTCTGCTTGGTGATCAGCGCCTTGCTGGTATACGTGTAGTCCAAGAGGGTGTGCATGATCTCAGCGTCGACCCCTTTGATAATGATCCTCTTCTCGTACTTTTCCTTTAAATCATTGCAGAACATGGCCCTGGAAGAGAGATGTGGGAATGTCACTCCCACCAGGACCCTTAGTCCCCCAGGCCTAAAGCAGCCCCCTTCAGACCCCCCAGCCCTCTAAGAACAGTGAGGATCCCAGGACCTGCCCTGGGTCTGTTGCTTTCTGTCTTCAGCTCCCAGCACACACCCAGCTTCCAACTGGGTCAGCACTCAAGTGCTCGGCCAGGACCGGCTGTGGTCCCCACGGCCACTCACAGATCGTCGGAGGGGATGCTGGGCACCTCGCGGCACCCCTGGTGGGATCGAGAGCAGACACCAGCTGCTGTGGAGTGAATGCCAACTCTCAGAACGGTGCTCCGTAGAGTTTTCCATGACCGAGTTTGCGGAGGGGTGGATCACCAGGCCCTTCTTCTGAGGCTCTTCTAAGTGATCTCAAAAGACCGGCCTTTCAGTTCGCAGCTGAGTGGGTTAACTGTTTGCACTACACGGGAACTCTTGATGGGGTCTACAACTATTTGGGGGGCTCAAAACTTCTGTTCAAAGTGCTGGGGATCTTGGCAGGGGGTGGGGTAAGGGTAGGGGTGTTATGGGCCTCCTAAGCCCTGACGATGTAGTGATCTATTAGCCAAAAAGTGAGTGGTTCCAGCCCATTGGTCCATCCTCAATAGAAAGATGAGGCTGTCTGCTCCCAGAAAGGTTTCCAGCCTCAGAGACCTGAAAGGACAGATCTGCTCTGTTCCATGGGGTTCCTGCTATGGGTTGGAATGGACTTGATGACAGTGGGGTTTTTTTATTTGTTTGTTCTGGTTTTGGTTTTGTTTTCATTTTGTTTTGGGGTTTTTTTCGGGGGAGGCCTCATTCAGTCTCAGTTCCCAGCCTAAAACAGGTCTAGGACTGAGCGCTCAGTTCTTACTCCAACTCTCTCTGGCCTCGAGCCTGGTCCTACATGCTGGCCTGGCCTGGCAGCGTAGGACCACAGGTGGCCCCCAGGGCCCCCCAGAGACAGGATTCTTCTTCTCTGTGAGTTCCCAGCTGCAGCTGGAAACTCTGAATCTGACATCTGTGAGCCACCACATCCCAAGGACACACTCCCCGAGGCCTTGACTTTGCCTTCCCTCGGGACTCTGCCTCTCCGCTCTGCTCCCCAGGACTGGAGTTTGGAGTACTGAGCCTGTGTCTTGGAGCAGAGAAGTAGGATGGGAAGGATTTAAATATCCGTGCCTAGGGGTTCACAATCTAGCAGGGACACAAGCACAAATTACAGTCTCAAAGAATCGTAAGGGGCTAGGGACGGCTGCTCGTGGAGAAGGGAAGTTTTGATAGGTGAAGATTGAGAACAGGGCTTCTGCATCATTACACCTGAGTGCAGGCGCATGAACGGGCAAGAGCATGGGGAGGTGGAGAGCAGAGAGAGCCTGTGGTGCAGAGGAGCCCAGGGGAAACCAGTCTGGGAAGATCACCGGAGGGCACTGGACAGAGGCATCTAGGGAGCCCCTGAAGGGTTATGGGTGGAGGCAGGACTCAGCAAGAACATTTTTAGCGAGTATGTTCTCACTGGGAGAAAGATGGGGCTTTCTACTCCTGTAAAGAGCTATCGTCTCAGAAACTCACAGGGGCGGATCTACCCTGTCCTATAGGGTCACTCTGAGTCAGTATCCATTCGCTGGCCGTGAGTTTTTTGCTTGGTTTAATATTCTCACTTGAGATTGCAAGTGACATTGGAGTCAAGCATGAACTAACTGGTCTCAAAAGAGGTGGGAGCAACAGTGCCAGAGCCTTAACCCCCCTACACCCCAATATACTGAGGCCACGTCCAAACTGCTGGGAAATTGCCCCAACCAGTTGTCATTGGCCCTTGTGAGCTACGGAAACATGAACAGGCACCTGAGAGGGCCATTTGTCCCCAGCCAGGGCACGGCTACAGGAAGTTCCCAAGGTGGATCCCTGATGACAGAACAGAATTCCCATCTCAACACGGAGGGGATTATAGCCCTATGCCCTGCTCCTCCCCTCTCCTACACCAGCTGTTTGGGCCTGCGAACCACAGGCAGCTTCTCCCCACTCCCAACATGCAAAGCAAAGGCAACTACTTCTGGGCCAAGCCATCAAAAGCAGGGGTCTCCATGTGGTTCCTTCAGCTCTGAAACTCTGACTGCCTAGGGTAGCTTCATGCGGTTTCTCCATGTCCCAGGGAAGGGGCTCTATCACCGTAGTGCCATGTGTCTTGTGAGTAGAGCATCTCTCAGGGAGTGAGCAGAGAGAGTGTGTGTGTCTCCCGCCTCCAAGGAGGAAATACAGGAGTTCCCAGAATCCTCAGGAGAAGGCCATGCCCACACAGAGGCCTCATTGGCTATATCTGGATTGACAGGCTAGACGCCACCCCTACACTCTTAATCCTCTCAAAAGTCCCAAATTGACACCAGATTATGTAACTCCCACATTATGGAGGGTAAACAAACCCTGAAACTACTGCCCTGAGATCATCTTTAACTTAAAACCAAAATATCTCCTGAAGTCATCTTAAGACCAAACAATAGTTTAGCTTAACTAATAAAAAAAAGCTCTACCTTGTGCCTTGTGCATTATGCTTTTTAAAGAACTGTCCATATATAATCAAATTCACAACAGTAAGTCAAAAGATTAGATAGTAATCTAAGGGGGCAGTGATTTTATGTTAATGTCAGAGGAAAAGGAATTCAGAAAAGAAAGATGAGGTTGGTTGAATAACTCGAAGAATGTAGTCAATGTCACTAAATGTTGCATGTCAAGACAGGGGCAAAAGCAAACAAAAATGATCACCTGAAGTCCTCTAAAGACCAGTCAATAGTTTAGTTTACCTAGTAAAGACCGTCTGCCTGGAACCTTTTAAGAATGGCCTACATGGAATCAAAGAAGCCTTGGTGGTGCCATGGTGAGATAGTTAAGGTTTATTGTGCCAACCTGGCCGATAAACATATATGGGGTTAATTGAAGGGTGGAGGGATAAATGGCTCGGTTGAGCCTCAGGTCTCTTGCTTTGTGATGGTCTGACCAGGGTGCAGCTGCCTTAGCCAGTTCCCTGCTTCAGCTGGCAAGGCTCACTTCCTGCAAGACATCCCTGAGGAGAAGGCACATGGACCTACCCCAATGCAGCCCTGGGCGCTGGAGCAGCTGCTTGGAGACCCCTGCCAGTGCTGAGATGCTTACACATTCACTGACTCAGCTTTCCTCCTGCAATTGGCGTCATTGCATGTGTTTTGTGAGATTGAAGAGGGATTTGTAGATTGGTGTTGGACATATGGGTTAATGTTGGACTTATGGGCTTGGGCAGCACTGGGTTAGTATCTTTCTTAATGTACACTTACCCTTTAGATAAAACTCTCTTTTATACATATGAGTTTCTGTGGATTTGTTTCCCTAGTTTATCCAGACTGACACACGTGGGTTAAATGCTGGGCTTCGAACAGTAAGGTCTGCTGTTCAAATCCACCAGTCAATCCACAGGAGAGAGGTGAAACTGTCTGCTTCTGGACAAATTTACAGTCTCGAAAGCCTAAGAAGCAGTTCTGTTTTCTTCTTGGGGTCGCCCTCAGCCAGAATTGATGAGATAGCAGTGGGTTCTGTTTGGGATTTATATAGGTTCAAAGTAGGAGCCCTCGTGGCATAAGGTAATTGATGTAATTGATTTAATCACTAAATCTTACATACATGCAGAAATTGTTGAATCGGGGTATGTTTTACTATTTCAATTCTCAACAACAACAAAACCAAACTCACTGCCATCGAGTCAATGGTGACTCAGTGATCCCACAGGACAGGGTGCAACTGCCTCAGTAACTCTTTACAGGCGCAGAAAGCCCCGTCTTTCTCTCATGGAGTGGCTGGTGGCTTCGAACTGCTGACCTGACAGTTAGCAACCCAGTGCTTAGGCACTATGCTACCAGGGTTCCCTCAACAACAACAAAATGAAAAATTTTAAAGAAAAATCCACTTGAGTTGCTGAACTTTTTAGCTAATGAAATCTGTTCCTCTACCCTCTCTCCGGTGTCTGGTTCTCCCCTGGCATTTTAATGGACCATAATCCTCCCAGTTCTCCTCTTGCCCTCAGCTGGCCTGTTTCCCCTCCCAAGAATATGTCAACATGCAGTTTGACATATGAGCAACTATGAATTTCAGGGCTGCTAAAATATCAGCTTAGAGCCAAAGGAGCAGAGATATCACTGAGCAAGTGTCCAACCAATTTACAAACCACTTTCTGCAGTAGCAGAGTCCCTGGGCCAATAGCACAGAGCTATCTGCACAGCACGTGCCTTGACCAGTGGATCGAATGGATCTGTTCATTTTACTCCATACATACAAACGCACATTTCTAATGTCAGGAGAATAAATAACAATGAGTCCCAAGACCGAATGAGTTGAAGCACTGCATGCACATAGCTCTGGAGAATCATACTGTCCAGCAAGCTCCTGCATTGGAAGTCTGGTCCACTGGTGTTTATGCTGAGCCTCCCATCCGAGGTCTTACATGACAAAAGCACGGTGAATGGTTTTGCCTTGATTTGCGTTTGATCTTGCGCATCTTCCACCTCCTTGTCAGAGATGAGACCTAGCTTCCCTTCACAAAACACAGCTTCCCTTATAAGCCTCTCAGCAAAGTCTGCTCGGACTCTCACTTCCCACATTGGGCTGGGAGGAAGGTCAGCATTTGTGCTGACTGCCCACTGCCCAGGCTATTCTGCCCAGGCTGGAGACTCCGAGGCTCTGTTCTTCAAGCATTTTCCATCCCAATCCCATCCACAAGATCCCATACTGGTTTCCTTATACTGCTACATCGCTATTCAGAAACTAAGGGTCAACCTCTGTGTAAAGATTTTTTTTTAAGCACAATAGAATTAAATGTCCCGAGTCAATAGAACTAGAAGTCCCGAGTCATCCCATGACTGGTGGTGGATCGCACTTTTGTTATCCGAAAGCTTTTATTAGCTAATTTTTGAAGTAGATTGCCAGGTCTTTCCTTCTAGTCTTAATCTGGTAGGTCCACGGGAATCCGTT